CCTGTCCCCAAGGTTGGGGACATCACCCTCCCATGGTCTCCAGGACGGGGGCATTTCTCCCTCCGGCATCCCTGGGTGACCATCTGTCCCCTTCTGATGTCCCTGCTCCTGGGGATGGCACTGTCCCCTCTCCAGCATCCCTGGGTGCCCCTCTGATGTCCCCTGCTGCTGGGGATAGCATCCTCCTCCTCCAGCATCCCTCTGTCCTTCTCCCGTGTCCCTGGCTCCTGAGGACAGCATTGTCGCACTCCAGTCTTATCCTCTGATGTCCTCAGCTCCCAAGGACATCATTGTCCCCTTCCAGTGTTCCTTGGTCCTGGAGTCACTGTTGTCCCCACCCACCAGCCTTATCCTCTGATGTCCTCAGCTCCCAAGGACATCATTGTCCCCTTCCAGTGTTCCTTGGTCCTGGAGTCACTGTTGTCCCCACCCAGCATCCCCAGGACACACACCCCAAGGACATCATTGTCTCAGCTCCCAAGGACATCATTGTCCCCTTCCAGTGTTCCTTGGTCCTGGAGTCACTATTGTCCCCACCCAACATCCCCAGGACACACCCATAGGCATCCATCTGTCTCCTCCAGTACAGCCAGGTCCTAGGGACGTCATTCCCTCCAGTGTCCCTTGGTTCTGAGGACACCACTGCCCCGTTCCAGTGTTCCCAGCTCCCTGGAATCAGGGTCTACAGGCATCGGCCTGTCCCCTTGTGACATTCCCAGCTCTGAGGGCGTCATCATTGTCATCATCATCCCCCTCCAGTGTCCCTTGGTCCTGAGGACACCTCTTCCCCATCTAACAACCCCAGCTCCCCTGGATCTGCATCCGTGGGCATCGACCTGTCCCCCTCAAACACATCCAAGAAGGGGATGACAATGTCCCCAGGACATGTCCCTCAGTCCTGGGGACACCACTGTCCCCATCTGCTCCCACGGGCTTGTTGGAAGGGGACAGGTTGATGCCTAAGTCAACCACCCCCTTCCAATGTCCCCATGGCCTGAGGACACAACTGTCCCCAAACATCTCCGGGGACTTACCCCCATAGACATGGACCCATCCCCCTGTAAAGCTCCCAGCCCTTGGGGACATGGCCATCCCTCCACTGTCCCAGGCAGCCACCAGTGTCCCCCCCAGACACCCCTGGCTGTGGTAACGCCACTGTCCCCAGTGTGTCCCCAAGCACCCCCTGTAAAGCTCCCAGCCCTTGGGGACATGGCCATCCCTCCACTGTCCCAGGCAGCCACCAGTGTCCCCCCCAGACACCCCTGGCTGTGGTAACGCCACTGTCCCCAGTGTGTCCCCAAGCACTCACCGCCTGCAGCCGATCCGTCAGCTCCCGGCGCCGGTTACGGCACTTGGCCGCCGCCAAA